GGGGTGCCCATCGCTGTTGTCATTAAGGCCGCATTTGGGACCATTGCTGGATCCAGTGGCTGATCTGGGCTACCTATCAATGTCCCAGATGGTGTTGGACCAATAGGATCCATGTGGGGGTCTGCAGTGGAAATGGTCGGGCCAGGCCTGGTGGACGATGGTCGCGTCGTAGAGGAAGTATTTGAGGAAACGCGCCCATTGGGCGCCGGAGTGGCAACAGCCGCCGCAGAACCAATATTCCTTAGACTGGGCGCAGGGGTACTGCCTTGTTGAGACAAGTCATGCAGGGCAGGGGACAGTTTCTTATCTTCTATGAAAAAAGAAAAAAGAAACGTGTGACTTGCCCCACCAGTCTGCTGTCGGCCTCTCCACAATTGAAGTATTTTCTTGCAGCATGGAACCGTTAATTTGCTGGGATCACGGATCTTGACATCCTCAGGCCACATCTCACTCTCCCACAACGTGTTCCTGTGCTCATCTAAACAAAACCAGGGAACGACCACCGATGGCTTGCCTGAAGCCAAACGATAATGAATGGTCATGAATTCTCTGATGAGGGATTTAAGTAGATCGCCAGATTCAGCTCTATCCTGGGGCGCAAGAGGAAGCACTGGTAGGCCGCCATCGAGGTCAAAATGCGGCGCCTTCCGTTTCTGCCTCAGCCTGGTATAGCAATGTTGCGCCGGTGAATCTGAAGGCCCCTGCTGAAATTCTGCAGTTTGAAGTTCAATACTTCACTGATCAAGGGCGTGACAACATAATCATCTTACCTTGAATGTAGTTTAAATACTGGACCCAGGCTTCCAGAATGTTACCTACAGCCTCAGGAAACATATCTCTGAACTCTCGGAGGCCCTCAGGACCAAAATCGGCATTATGGTCCAACCAAGCGCTCCTATGTTGTCCATTTTCATCTATGTCGCCCACCAGACTCCAGCTGAAAACTCCTAGCTGGTATTGCTTGACTTTATCCATTTCTCTCATCATGCCCAGGCCATGTTTCGAATTGAGTCTGTTTGGTGGTCAAGGTGAGACGGCGCTGAAAGGCATGATTTGGACCGCTCACTTTCTTTGGACGTCAGGGGGCGGTACGGCATTCGTCCATTCCTCTGCCAAGCCTTTATACTCCTCTTTCTCAGCGTCTGTGAGACCACCCATTACTTCCTTTAGGCCTTGTTGGTATTTAGCAAGAAACACTCTTGACCCAGGTGGCGCGCCCTTTGCGAGCCGAGTCACGACCTCATGTATTTGCTCCTGGCGCAGGTGCGCAACTACATATCTGGTGGAAATGAGTTTGACATATCCAAACTTCGGCATCCTGATGCGTCTTCCATGGTTTTGAAACCACTCTTTGATCTTCTATGGCAAAAGCGTCAAATGAGCAGCAGTATGACTAGCTAGCACCCACCGTCTTCCTCTCCTTCCACTGCTCCTCTGTAAGCAGGGGGGGTGCCTTGGCCTTCATGAGTCTGTATACCTCATACATCAGCAGCTTCTTTCTTTCTTCCTTCGTTTTGACACGAAAATCTTCTAGGTATTGTCTGAGAATCGCTGACTCCTCCGAAGAGAACGGTTTTCGTCCTGGAGTTGGGGGCCGTGGCCGGCGAGTCTGCAACAAAGGCATGTCTGGAGTCACAGGAATGTTCGGTGGGAGTGGGCTCACAAATTATCGTCGAGAGGGCAAAGGGGGCAAGGCAGCACAAACAAATTGCAAAGACCTCAAGGATTACACGTGCCCGGCAAAGAGCGCCAATCCTGACGAGCCCTTGACCATATTCAGGTGAGGACCTTTGAAACTTGACCTCATCTGGATATCAGTACCTGACGCCGGTCCCCCCAAAAAGGCAATATCTGATGCGCCAGGGCATGCTATCTGATGCGCCAGGGCATGCCTCTATCTGTGCAGAGATCGTGTATCCCGCCTTACAACAACGCACTCGGTGAGTGATGTATCCCGCCTTATGACAACGCACTGAGCATGATATAATTTGTGCGGCCCTGGAGCGCCGCAATCTGTTGATAACTATCTCAACCAGCAGTCACCTTGATGAGCTCACTTTGGCCCCTCTCCTTCGCTCTTAGTATCTTTCTGTCCCTCGCTCGACACTGCGACTTGGTCCACCGAACTCTGTTGATGACTATCTCAACCAGCGGCCAGTCACCTTGTTTAGCTCACTTTTGTCCCTCTCCCTCGCCCCTGGTATCTTTCTGCCCCTCGCCGCTACTGGTCCTGTTGAAAGGTGTGATAAGTTCGTCATCTTGCTAGTCCCTCACTAATGCTGCATTAGATTGAGTTGTGGCGCAGATGGGGGATTTAGAACATGCCCTCTCTGCTTATGAGGACGCTTTGTGACGGATCCTATTCTTCTCATCGGGGCCGATGCTTGTTGCATGGCTCGTCTCAAGTAAATCTATCCCAAGGGCCAAGGTGAAGTTTTCTCTCCTTAAATTGCAAACAACCGAGCATGGCTTTTGACAGGTGTGATATTTTCGTCCTCTGCTAGTCCCTGTACTGCATTGGGGGATTTAGAACATCCGCTCTCCGCTTACGATAATGCTTGGTGACGCAACCCAATTGCTGGCATTGCTCGTCTCAAGGAGAATTATTCCAAGGTGAAGGATTCTCTCCTTACATTGCAAACAGCCCAACATGGCTTTTGATAGGCGTGATAATCTCGTCATCTGGCTAGCATCTCACTATGGCTGTGCCCCAATTGCTGGCATTGCTCGTCTCAAGGAAATTTAACCCAAGGTGTAGTTTTCTCTCCTTACATTGCAAACAACCGAGCATGCTTTTGACAGGTGTGATATTTTCGTCCTCTGCTAGTCCCTGTGCTGCATTGGGGGATTTAGAACATCCGCTCTCCGCCTACGAAAATGCTTGGTGATGCAACCCAATTGCTGGCTTTGCTCTTATCTCAAGGTGAAGTTTTCTCGCCTTATATGCAAACAAGCA